TGTTTTGAAAACCATACCAGATACAAATTCGGTATAGCTGCTAGTTGACTTATTGGTCCGGTTCAACTGGTTTAACCGGTTTTTCTGTTTTTAAAAATTAAATATATATATATATAATCATATTTTACACTATATAAACTTAAAAATAGGTCTACATATAATATGTTATATGTTCTCTTTTATTAACTAGAAAATTAAACAGTAAACATAAATCTAACTATATATATACAGTAAATCAGTGAATTGAATACTATGTAAACTGAAGCAAATAAAAACCAAATGATTCATATTCAGACTACCGTATTTTTTTATTCTTACAACTGATGCAAAATACGAATAATATATGAGAGCTAAAAATATAGTTTTTACATTGTATCTTAGGAAAATAAAATTAAATAGAAAACAAATTAAAATTGTGATAGCCAAACACTTATCATAAGATACTAAATTTTAATAACAATTGAAACACACATTAATAATATGTTAACTTTTTAGAACCAGATTTTGGAGTTGATTTGGATCACCGATTTTATCGGTTTTAGCCGGTTTTGTTCAAATTCGAGTTTTAAACCGAACTGGACTCGGCTTCTTAAACGAGTCATGGTCGGATCCGAATTTCAAAACCATGACAAAATATGTTATTTGAATTTTCGAAAGTACAAATATATTTTTGTATGGTTATATAAGCCGAGCATAAGGGAATCATTTTGTTGAAATCAATTAATCTAATGAGTATGAAATGACCTTTCCTTGGGTTTGTTACACTTTTTCAAATGTTTTGTTTTCTTTTGTTTCTTTTTTTGTTTTCTTTTGTTTCTTTTTTTGTTTCTTTTGTTTCTATTAAATATACTTTCTTAAAATTTCTCTAAGAGCAAAGTGACAGGGAATATAAATTATTGCTCACTAATGCAGTATTATATGTAAATATTGTTTTGTGACCTTCTATTATTCAAACAAGTTTGTATAATCAAATCGAAATAGAACCACTAATAAAAAATAGTTCTTTATGAAATATCATTGATATGCATTTGTTTTACATAATCTAATCTGGTTGATCAACATTTATTTTATTTGATCAATCGAAGTTGATAATGTAGCATGAAACCCTCTTGAGAAAATCGAATTCCTTAAGTTCTGTCACACCTCACTACTTGTTCAATTCAATGAAATGAATCAACCAACCTTACACGAATAGAAACCTCTATAGTACTGCGGCAAGCCGGCAATGATCATGAATCTTAACGTTCTAATTTTATTGTCTTTTACCCAAATTAATTAAAGAACATGAATCTTATTTTAGCCCTCGAGTCATGAAACGTTTTGTATAATTTGTATCAAACGCACAAACGCAATCGCAAAAAGGCGTTTGGCGCGGTAGCAGTAGAAAGATATCAATAACAATCAAATCCGCCTAAACCGAAAATAATAAGCAAAGGAAAACGCGAGAGAGAAAGGGAGAGATCTTGGATCAAACGATCTCCCAAATCTCGAGGGAAGAGGAAGAAGAAGAAGAAGATCAAACGTTCTTCCAGATCAGGAACGAGAGAGAGAGGAGAAGATGTTGCCTACAACTTCCAGATCTCGCTCTTCACCGTCTTCATCCCGAGCTAATCCAATGTTCCTTCAGTACTTTCGTCGTATCGTCAAGGTTCTCTTTCTCGTTACATCTCGAGCTCTCAATCGTCGATATGATCTCAGATTTGTCTTCGATTCTCGATCTTCGGTGCTGTGATAATTACATAGATTCGTTATTCCTTAGATCAGATTATATCGGCTGATAATGAGAACTCGAATCGGATTTAGCTGAAATTGATTTGCGTGATGATCTGATAATTAATCAATCGAGAGATTTTTGTCCTTATGCTGATGTTAGTGTCATGTAGCTTTGGAATCTGTTTTAAGCACTGGTGAAATTCTAATTGGTCAAAGATTTTCTTGGAGAGAATGTGAACAACTCTTGGCCGAATTGTATATGGAGTTTTAATACTATCGATTCATACATTACGTCATCTTCTCGTTTTGTGAATGTATTTTTGTTTATTGCAGTGGCAGCAAATGGATGTTGAATATACTTTCTGGCAAATGCTTAACCTCTGTACATCTCCCAAAGTTGTGTAAGTCTTTTGTTTTTCTATCGCACTTTGAGTACAAGTTTATGTATGCTCAAACTTAAAGCTGTTGCATTTGAAAGGAGGACTCAGACCTGTTAAAAGTCATGCATCTCTAAATGACGGAACGGGAATAGTGACTAAGGCTTTTACTACAGAGCTGATTTAGTTGGAATTTACTGGTTAATCATTTAAGTTTCTAGGTGAATAGAGTTTGGAGATTGTTTCACTTCCCCTTTGCAATTGGACATTAAAGAGACTTTTAACTTGTCCTAGTCTAATCCAACGAGTTGGGAACTCTTTAGCTAAGGTAGTACGTTAGTTGTTTTCTAGTTCTTATTCTCTTACTTTTGTTTTTTTTTTTCATGTGGACGCTATGGCATCAGCTATCAACACACTAAGTATCACAAACGTAAGCTCAACTTTCATTAACAAGCTTTAGTTTTACTGTTGTCTTCTTTTGTTTTTGCTTGTATACATTTACCCTTCTGTTGCTGAGAACATCTCGAGCCATCCATTTTTTACTATCAATATGTGGTCAGGGGGTCTCAGGGCTTTATTAATCTGAATATGTAACCTGCAGAGAATTATATCACTATCATTCCATCTTTATTTATTGGCTTCTCCTTCTCTCTGTTATATACTTAATGCTAATGTCTGTTAAAAATAAGCTAAACGTTTGGTATGAGTTTGTTAGTTTAAGTGCGTTTGCTTTAATTTCTTTTCTTCTTTCTTTCTCTCAGAAACGAAAAACCAATGGGCACGTGATGACCCTGCTTTTATTGTGATCTGTAGCCTGCTTCTTGTTGTTGCAACTTTAGCCTACTGTGCCACGTAAGTATTTTGTTTATTTGCATTTTTGAGGGCGTGTGATAGTTAAATCTACTGCCTTGGAAAACGAATTTGGTCTGTTTTTTTTTTCGTTGTTGATTGTAATCTTCTGTCTCTGCTTCAGGTATGACCATAGTGCCTCTCATGCTGTCGTCGTAGTTGTATCAGTGTTCGTCACCCATTTCTTAATTACTGGAGCAGTTATAGCTACATGCTGTTGGTTAGTATTTTCTTTCAGTGCATAGACAAACTTGTTACATTGTCAAATATTATTTTGCATCCAACGTCTGTTATTGCTGCGTGTGTCACTGTTATTCCCATACTGATGGGTTCTGCTTATCTAATCTTACTATTACACTCTTGAGAACTAGCAATGAATCTCTTACGACTTTTATGGAAATCGCTCTTGCATGAACTTGAATCCTTCTCTGCTATTTTCGTTCTTTTTATTCCACGGCAGTTAAGTGGTTTCTAATATCAAAATTGACAGTCTCTCTAACTTGAGATACGAATCCCCAGGTTTCTGACGAACTCTTACCTTCGTGAGGAGGCTCCTAACAGTCATGTGGTGGAACAACGCGTTGAATGGTAAGTTTAGTGACTGATTCTTATATTTTCAACTCGACACTAAACAACGGATTTTTCATTTTTGTTGTTCAGTATCCATATTTCATATCATAGTTTCTCTCTATCCATGTGAGCTTCTTTATAACATGCCTTGTATATATTTATCTGTAGGCTGTATTCGTTTGATGTTCACTGCAACTCGTTCTTTCCAATGTTTGTGCTGCTCTACGGTAGTAACTTCTTTAAACACATCACTGAGTTTTCAAATCCGCAAAAAAAGATTTATGACTTATAGTTTCTTCTTGTATTGCTACAGTCGTACATTACTTCTTATCACCACTCCTGATAACTCATGGATTCATCGCTCTACTACTTTCAAATCTGCTTTTCATGGTCGGGGCTTCGTATTACCATTATCTTAACTTCCTAGGATATGACGGTAAGTCTCATAAATTCTCTCTTTCACAACTGATAGGCTTTATAACTATTTGAGCTAACAACATTTCTTGAATCTATACAGTGCTTCCATTTTTGGAACGAACAACCTTCTTCCTGTACCCAATCGGGATCGTGATTGTCATGTCCCCTATTAGTAAGCATAAATCATTCATCATATGATTCCTCGTTCTTGAATAAGTGTAAACATCTTAAAAGTTTGTTTCTCCAATTTTGCAGTGATCTTATGTGGATTCAACCCCTCAAGATATTTCATGAACATGTACTTCAGCCAAAGATTATAAGACAAACATCAGTGGAATCTCAAGGGCTCTGCACTGCACATACATCATCAATGAAGAAGAGAGTATGAATTTTTTTTTTTTTTTTTTGGGTTACCTGTAACAGATCATCGTCATACTCCAATTTCTGGTAAAACTTCGAAGGCTACTTGATAGAAACTAGTAACAGTTTTTCTGAACTTGACCGTATTTAGCAGGGCATCTTTCTATTGTCACTTCCCTTTTTCTTCCAATTCATGATCATTTTTTTATATGTTACTTCTTTAGATTTTTCGTTGGTTTCGCTGAGCCTTTGGCATATACTCCAAGTAAGTGGAATCTGCAAAAATTGTACTACGCTGAATACCAATCATGAATACACCATTGATTAACTCAATACTCTTCGTAGAGTTTATAGCAAGGACGTAAAAGCTGCTTTGAGTTATCTTCAAAACCACATAAGTGAAACCTTTTGCCGATAGATTCACATAGCTCCCAAACAGTCGGTGACAAAGCCATTTTAACAGAAGAGCTTTTGCTCTTATTATACAATCCAATTGCTAATAACAACCTTTGCATTGAAACTCAGTGGCTCTTCGTGGCAGAAAAATATCATATCTTATGTTTTTGGTTAGTGAGCCAATACTCCCTTATGTATATCGGGCCTAGAAATCTGATGTGTGCAATAATCTCCTGCGGTGCACCATACCGAATCATCGAGAGTTTTTAATTTTCTCCTAAGCCCTAGCATAATCTCTAAACACAGCAGTGAGCGAAAATGGCTTGGCGAAACGCAGGATCTGCTGCTCGTTCTTTTGCCTCCGCCACCACAAGGTCACCGTCTCTCCGTTCTCCTACTGCGGCTATTCCTCGCCTCCGTCCTACCTCATCCTCCTCACCTGGCCGTCGCTTCACCTTTTCCTCGCCTTTTAGGTTTGACCTAGCTCCTTCAACATTTTGAGATTCGTAGTCTCTTTGATCTCTCGTTTTGATCTGTGGTGTTGATGTTTCTTATAGAACTGAATGTGGAATCTGATGTTTGTGCTGTGTTGTGATGTTCAGGAACCTAGGAGCACTTGGTTGCACACAGTCTTTCTTGCCTCTGTACAGTGTTGTGTCTGCTTCTCAACTCACCTCTCACCTTAATGTTAACATACGGGCTTTCTGCGAACTGTCTAATGGTACCTTCCCATGCACTTGTCAAGATCGCTAAATAGTTGAGTGCTACTTTTCTTAGGACAAGTTTAAAGTGGTTTTCTTGAATGTCTCTTGTTTTAAAAGTTTCCACACTCTGGAGCTTCTTACGCATTTAATCTTATCACCTTTGGTAGAGAATACTGCTGCATTGTAGCATGAAGATTACACTCTGTTTTCTTTTCCTTTTTTTTTGTTGTTTTGGAATACTATCATCTTGTTCAGTTGAACAGCCAATTTGGAGTTTCAATCATTACTCATTCCAAAGATAAGAGTGGAGACATGAAGTACATACAAACCTCTTGGATTTTGTTTCATTGTGACCTGAGTTGTGTTGGTATATCTGAACAAGCTTGTTATACAAAAAAGGTTATAATCCATAAAATCTAATACATATATGTAATACAATGCGAGTGATGAGAATTGATGTTAGGAATGTATGACGTTAAGCTGGATGATTTTTTTTTTTTTTTTATCTTAGGGTTTGTTCTTATTCGTAAATCGTAAGCTGTGGTTTGCAACATGTGCAGGTACTTGAAGATGCATAAGAGTGTATAATGCAACAGTGCATGCATCGGTTACTTTGAACTTTGAAGTGGTGTGAGTAATCCAAAGAATGGGATAACTTCAGAAAAAACCTTAATTGTTTTGTTACTTTGGTTTCAGAAATCCTAGTTCCATAATTTTGGAATCGGTTTGGTTATTAAAGAGCTTTTAGTTTTCGTGGCACACTGTATAATCTCTCTGGCATATTCCGAGATCATAATATTTGAAGTACTTTGAGCACCATTATTTCTATAAAGTTAATAATAATAATTTATGATTCTCTAGTTTTGTTGTGTAACTGAAATTAGTTCTACTTTCTTTTCTTGTGTGAACCAGTTATTTTATAACTGTCGAAGACAATATCCTTAAGGTTCACCGAAGTCCTGTTGCGATACCCGTTTCAACAAGAACCATTAGTGGATGAGCCATAACCGTATTATCTAGGCCCAATCTGTGTAGTTTATATGATAGTTTAGACTTAGTATTTTTCCATATTTATATTGGCTTTGTACTTTCCATTTATCTCTCATGTAATTCTCTAGAGATCCTATGTTATGAGTAATATACACACCAATTCCTCTTTTCTCTATTTAGTTTACAACATGTTACCAGCACGAATTGTTCTCTAACCCTAAGCTAAAAACCCGATCACAAAAAACCCTAGCTCTCTCGCCAGCAATCATCAGCCTCCGCAGCTCTTTCCTTTTCTCGGCAAAGCCCTACCCGGATTTCCTTTTTGCTCGGCGATCACCCATCAACCTCCATCGGCTTTTTCCTTTTCTCGGTGAACCCTAGACCCAAGAAACCCTAGTTCGCGGCTTCCTTTTTCCGGTGAAGCCTTAGCACGCAGAACCCTAATTCACGATCCTCCGACCAGCCGCCTCATCGACAATCTCAATCCATGCAATCCGATCATCGATCCCGACCACAATTCTCAACTGCATCCGCTCGATCCGACTCATCACAGCTCGCGATCCGATTCGTTCTAAGCTCGAGGTTCTTCGTCTCTTGGTGGTCCGTTCAACCCGTCGAGGCTCAAGGTAATCGACCATACCTGATGATCTAACCAAACCTAAAGAAATCAAACCCTAAAACCCTAAACTATGCTTATAGAACCCGATGTCTTGATAAAACCCTAAAACCGATTACCTAAACCCTATCCGCAAGTATGTATATTCATACTATGCAAGAAATCTGAAACCCTAAACCTAATATGGTTTATTTTATTGTTGATTGATCCAAAACTATGAAACCCAAAAAATTTCAAATCGGAACCCTAAACCCTAATTGATCATATTGAATCCAAATATGTGATTGTTTTGAGAATTGATATTGATTGTTTTGACTGAACTAATCTTAGAACTCTAAGTTTCTAGATTGATTGTTTTGGTAACTGAAACCCTAATTCTTGATCAAAACCTTAAAACCCTAAATCACATATTGATTTTGATTAATGGCATTGATTGATTGTTTTTAGAAAGTTAGGTTGATAGATTATTTGATTCATATGACATATTGAATCTGAAACCCTAAATTTTGAATTTAAATCCCTAAAGACCTTGAAACCTTAAATCACATATTGCTAAATACGAATGCTAGTTTCTCTAAATTGTTTTAAGGGTCGTACGCTAGGTTGATTATTTGTCATGATTGAAACCCTAATCTGAAATACTAAACCCCAAAGTGCGTATTGTTAGCCTAGCTAAGATAAACCCTAATCTATTGAATCCGCATGAATGTACAAAGCACTTGTTTATTGAGATTGACTGCATCTCATCTCGGCGGCCGTGTGGCCTTATTGATTGAATGTCTTTAAGATTTTATGGCCGCATTGTATTGGTTGATGAGCATATAGAAACCGCAAGCTAGGGTTGATTGCATTATATATCTCCATGGCCGTGTGGCCTTATACATATAGAAATTAAATGCTAAGGTGTTTGCATTACATTCATACGACTTGTATGCATCATGAGCATATAGTAATCGTTTTATTAGGTTGATAGAACATCATATATGGCCGCATGTTTTGATTGATCCATATAACTGGTTATAAAATAGCCGCATGATCCTTGCATATACATATTAGTACCCAATTGCTAGGATTGATGCATCATATCCATATTGAACATATAGACCGTATGTATTGTGATTGTTCATTAGGATTGTTTGCATCATACTACCTTAGCCGTGTGACTTATTTTTGATAGAGCATTCGTATGACTTGATTGTCTGCTTGGCCACATGCAAATTATTTTATGAAACCTAATTTTTTTTTTTGAGTTATGGTGTCCTAAATCTCTCTTGGGATAACTATTTGCAATGGGCACTAGATACTAAAATTAACCTGAGGTCAAAAGGACTCGGTGAGACTATCATCGAGGATAACAATGAGAATGATATAAATAGATACAAGGTAATACGTACTATTCGCCATCATCTCACTGAAGGTCTAAAAGATCAGTATATCTTACTATTGAAAGTCCTATAGACCTTTGGATCGCTTTACAACGGAGATATGATCACCAGAAAACGGTGTAACTACCAAAGGCTAGATATGAGTGGAGGAATCTCAGATTCCAGAACTACAAGTCCGTGGATGAGTACAACTCAGTTTTATTTAAAATCGTCTTAAAGATGATTCACCACCTATACTGATCTGATCTCATGCCTATTACTGGCTGAGACTAATAATGAGTTGCTCATGATGAACAGTGAGATAAAACCTCCTGACTCAACCCCATTACCTGAAGCCAATAAAGCTATAGAAGAAAAGAAAGATTCTAAAGAAAGTAACCACGTCCAGAGTGATAAACCACACGGTCATAACCGTGGTGGATGGAGAGAACGTGGTGGGCGTGGGAACCACTATAACCGTGGTCGTGGACCCAATTTTGGCCATGGTCGAGGCTGAGGACGTGGTGGTATCTCTAAACCACCACACTCGTCCAAATCAGTGTGCCACATGTGTGGAATAGACAACCATTGGGATAAGAAATGTCAATCAGTATGATAAGAGGCAAATACCATGGTAACCAGAGTGTTTACCACAAAATTATTCACTTTATGGCATGACTGGATTGACCATTCTGGTCTAAACGTGGTGCAAAAATTGATATACAAATAGGCACAAAGAGTTATCTCATAGAATCTCATGTGTGTAACATGTACACAATGGAAACTCATTAGGCCATAATATCCCAAGCATTTAAAGATTATAGTATGTTCATGAGGGGGCAGTGAGGAAAAACCCGTGGTCCATGACCATACTTTAACGGCGTGGCGGAATTCTCTTATAAACGCATAAGACCATTCCCTATAAGGTCCAAAGCTTGGGGACACACGAAATTAACATGTATCTAAAGTTAATACGCATTAGGCCATCTAGTAGGCATAGATATTCTCATCTCAAATTGATTACGGGTCATGAATCAGACATATCTCATCTTAAGACATTTAGAAATGCCACCACAAACATATGTGCCTTCTAAGATGGAGTTCTAAGAAGAAGATGGGGATATATGTTGGATATGTTTTCTCCCACAAATATTAATACCTAGAGCTGACCATGGGTGATTAGTTTGGGGCCAGGTACACGGGTTGCATGTCTAATGAATCCGACTATCCAACATCAGAGGGAGAAAATAATAAGCTGGTAAAAGAATGATAAGAGAAATAGAATGGAATAAACCATCATTGTCTTGGCAAGACCCTCGGACTTAAGAAAGTGAAATAAGACGTCCAAAGATAAATAAAAAGATTATACATTTATAAAGCTAGCTAATCAAATGCCAGACACATTTGTTGACCCAAAGAAAAAGAGAAGAAAAGAATGACTAAGTCATACCAGCTTGCACCAACGAATTTGATGTCCTAAAGAGACACAGTCCATTTGCTACAGAGTCTAGACAAGGTAGAACAAAAAGTTCCATGAGATAAGAATCCTCGGAAAGAAAAAAGAAAGGTGTATAGAATGATAACAAATCCGAGTTCAAAGGAAACCAGACCAGACATGGAGATAAGGCTGGCCAGCTGAACATCTAAGGTACCAAACCATGTACCTTGGGACGCCAAGCTTCTAGGTAATAAAGGTCCTAGATAATAATCTCAAATCGATTAGATCATGTCTGGAACACCATGAAACCACATAAGAATGTCGACACATAGATGATATATTCATTTAAGGAAGCACATAGAGGTAGCACTTGAACTTATAGATATAAGCGAGGATCATGAACCCACGTAATAGAGTACTCGTAAGATCAGATTAAATGGAAACGTGGGGTTAGAGTATCTAGAGAAAGAGAGGAGTATTGGCCATATATATATATATATATATATAGACACCATATAATATAAATCAGTGGATGTAAATGGGTCTTGTAAGGGAAAGAAAATCGTGAGATGTAGAACATGATCACGTGGTCAAAAGTTTTTCATGTTTCTACTTACAGCATTCAAGCATGACTTGTTACACAAGGATTCTCACAGAGACCACGAATAGACTATGAGGAGATATACTCCTATGTGGTGGATGCTACTACATATTTCGAATTGATAAGGTCTGGTCATAAGAAAGAAATACTATTAACATATAAAGGATGTAGTAAGTTGTATATGGTCCACTAGATAATAATGATAAAGGTACCAGTAGGTATTGAGCTCAAAGATGAGAAAATAAATTCTCAAAAAACATCATTGTATAAAGCTGAACTGTTTGTGGACTGAATCAAAGCAGCTGCATATAGTATGATAGATACTTAGTGAAATAAAGTTATAAGAACAATTCAAATCAGTCCATGTATCCTTATAAAGAAATTTGATTTCCTTGTGTGTGTTTTATAATAACCAGCTCAAAAAGAAGTTATTTGGTTTTATTGTTGATTTGTTTTCAGATAGGTTATGTTTTATACATAGTGGTACACGCATTCACATCAACATCATCGTGTGTGTGTTTGGTCGAGAGTGTGTGATTGTCAATAGGATGATCAATCACATCCGCATGGAACATGAGACGATCCGTAAGCGCTTGTGGTCGAGGACCATAAATCAAAATGCCCGACTAGATTATGGAGTGGATGATAACAAAAAGTACACCCCGTCCAAGTATTCATCGCCCCCAAGTGAAGTTCAAGTAGTCCAAATTCATTCAAGCTGAAAGACTCAAGATTGAAAGACTTTCAGTGATGCTCAAATAAGGGGGAATAATATGTGATGTACTCTTTTTTCTTATCCATG